GCGGCTAATTAATTCAGAGTGTGTTATGATTTAATATTGATAGATTCTTAACAATTATTATTCACATGGACACCATACCATATTAAGATGTTAGATTCATAAGATGTTTTGACTGAGACATGATGCAAATAAATAGAAGATTGTGAAAATACTTTTTTTTCAAGCAGTCACTTGTATTTTTGTTTCTTGAGGATTGTGAAAAACTGTCACAGCAGAGCTTGTCTCGTGTGTCAGGTCCATATTTAACTGATGGTGATGTATGTAATGATATTCACTCACTGTACACCATGTACATTTCAAGTTTGCTGTGAGGCTGATGGTGTACAAATAGATGTTAGCACAACCCGTGACTCTACCAGAAGTCATGAGGTGATGTTTAACTTGCAACTTTAATTCTTTCAAAACGGTCATGTTGCAAGCCATTCATTTTGAGCTTCAACAGAGTTTTGAAGTCATGCATTATTAGATTTATTTTAGTCTGTTGTTACAGTTGCTGTAGAAGTTACATTATAGAAATATACATTTTCTAAATACTTCGGAAATAAAATGTACATGAAATGAATTGATGTTTCATGATTAATTGTAATGTGCCTGTAATATGAAATATATGAATTGATAATTATGAAGGAGTACAAATGTGGTAGATCTAAATATATCTTTCACATAGTTCTCAAAACCAGTATGAAGATGTCAAGAAGTCCAAGGGCATTCAAACTTTAGTTACACTGAACAGCTGGCGTAGTGTCCCATTTAGATTCAAAAACATTTCATGGCCAAATGATAAATATATGTATCAATGTAATATATTATGTGAAAATGTACTGAATCAAATGTGTTAGATCCCGTCTTCACTAGATCTCTCTGTTAGGACGAGCCAGATTTTGGTCTGATATTCAAAGCAGCATTAATTCCACTGCTGTTATTTTGCCAAGCAAATACAATGGAAAAGTGCAGCTTCCCAGCATCGTCTTGTGTTGTAAACATCCTTGAGATTACAATACACAACACAACATTAAACATTAACAATAGATAATAACAGTAATATAATATGAAAAGTAATGAGTAAATGAAAGTTGGTTATTTTAACAAATGAGTACATAAAGAAAGATAAAATTGATAAAAAGAGATAAAGATTAACGTGAATGAAGACGTCTGTAACTATCATCCAAACAAAGTGTTTGCATTCTGAAATATGCAAGGAAAACAATTAGTGTGCATTAATTTGATACTGCATCCTGATGAACAGTGTTGGGATATTTCTATTATTTAACATATTTAATTATTGCAGGTTTGAGTCATATTCCGAATGTGCATTTCACGATTTTTAATCATTTTGAGGATTATTAGTGCCCGGGCCCCGATGGTGTGAGGACCCTATTGGAATTGCTCCATTTCTTCTTCTTCTTCTCCAAAGTGAATCACATTTTTGAGGGCCTAAAACGCTCCAAAACTCATGAAACTTTGCTCACGCGTCAGAACTGCCGAAAATTTACGTCTGATATGGGTTTCAGTAGTGGGTGTGGCAAAATGGCTCGATAGCGCCACCTGTAAAATTTCAACGGAGTGTGCCTCGAGCTACGTTGTACGTACATGTACTTTGACGAACTCCTCCTACAGTTTTAATCGGATCATCTTCAAATTTGGTGAGGGTCATCATAAGGCCTTTGTGACATTAAATTGTGAAGATCTTGAGTTTTCGTCAAGGGGCGTGTCCCTGGCGGCCTGACAAAGTTGGATGTTTCGCCAAGAAACAGGAAGTTGCTGCAACTCAGGCAAGCAAGGTCTGATCTGCCCCAAACATCACATGTTTGATAGGAGTTCTGTCCTAAACACATACCCATGCCCAAATTCAGTTATAGTGATAGCGCCACCTGCTGGCAACAGGAAGTGTCATGTTTAACACTGTTATGGACTCCTAGGAACATATTAAAAAGTGTCAGCAAGTGCTAAATAGGCTAGCAACATGCTAGCAACGCTTAGCTAAGTGCTAAAGCATGCTATTAATGCAGTGAAACAGGAAGTTACTGAAACTCAGGCATGCAGTGTCCAATCTTCCCGAAACTTAACATGTTTGATGAGAGTCCTGGCCTGAACACATCTACATGCCAAGATTCAGTTATAGTCATAGCGCCACATACTCTCAATAGGAAGTGACATGTTTAACACTATGCTGCACTATTAACACAGTAAAATGTGTCATTGTGTGCTAAACATGTTAGAAACATGAGGTGCATCCCAAATTGCATACTTATGCACTATGACGTTTTGTAGAATAAATAGTGTGATTAGTGTGTTCACACTGAATATTCCAAAAAGAAAAAGTGCACTTTAAGTACCCAGATGATGCACTTAAATAACCGAAAAAATTAAGTGTGGAATGTTGGACACGTCATGCACTCAACTGTCGCAGCTTTAATTACGTAGCGAAGGGGGAATAACCTTATATAATTCCTACACTACATGGTTGAGTACATAGTGTATTCTGCGTCATTTGGGACGCAGCTATGCCTAAACGTGCTAGCAAAACTGCCCAATCTGCCCCAAACTTCACACCTTGTGTAATAGTCCTGGCCTGAACACATCTTAAAGCCAATATTCAGTTGTAATCATATCGCCACCTGATGGCAAACAGGAAATGAGTTGTTTTACACTAACTTAAACATGCAATGTCCGATCTGCCCCAAATTTCTTGTTTGTGGAGAGTCCTGGCCAAAACACATCTAAAGGCCAATATTCAGTTGTGAAGTGCCACCTGTTGGCAACAGGATATCTCATGCTTTACACTAACTCAAACATACCATGTTCAGTCTGCACCAGACTTCACATGTTTGATAAAAGTTACGGCCTGAAGACATCTACATGCCAATATTTAATTATAGTCATAGCGCTGTCCACTAGAAGGAAGTTTGACACATATAAATGACTTTGTCATGCTCCTCCTATAGTTACCACTTTAAAAGCATATTGCCCACCGTTCACTGTTTTCCTAAAGCCACCAGGTGGCAGTGAGCCCGGGTGCGAGGGCCCTTTCATCGCTGCTTGCAGCATCAATTGAATCGGTTTTGTGTGTGTGTGTGAGAGTGTGTGTGTGTACTGGTTTATATATCCTGGTGGGGACTTAAACCTGACTACACACAGACTCATGGGGACTCGTGTCACGGTGGGGACCTAAAAAGCTTTTAAATCATACAGAATTAAGTTTTTTTGAAAATCTAAAAATGCAGAAAGTCTCCTGTGAGGGGTAGGTTTAGAGGTAGGGTTGGTGTAGGGCAATAGAATATACAGTCTGTACAGTATAACAACCATTACGCCTATGGAGAGTCCCCACAAGGATAGCTGGCCAGACGTGTGTTTGTGTGCAAGTGAGATGAGTAAATGCATGTTGACATTTATTCTAGAACTAGAGTAAGATCCTGTTTACACAGCGCACACAACGCCTCTGCACTTACTCCCGATTTCTCTCAACATGGGGACAGGATAGCTGTCAGTAAATATATGGGAAAACAAAGTAACTGGTGTTTCTTATTTTAAAAAAAGTAACGCACATTTTCTTGTAATTTAAAAAGTAATAGTACTTTACTAGTTACTTAAAGAAGTAATCTGATTATGTAATGCACTACCTCCAGTACTGCTGCTGAAATGAAGCGATCAACATTATTTGTTATTTCATGTGAGGTTAGAAAGAGGATGAAAGTGGTTTGGGTTTTAGTGGTGTTCATCACTATAGTAACTTCCGGTTCATGACTAATCTGCGCTGGGGCAGGCTATGTTCTGGTTTAGAGATCGCAAACCGTAATTTGAGCAAAGTGACACATCCTTGACGCAATAAAGCCACTCCCCCAGTTTCCCTTCCTCCAAATTAAAGGGCACTACATAGTTAAACATTTTTAAAGATAACATCGTCAGAGTTTTAGAGATTATTATTTATTTTAATTATTTTATATCATTTATATAATATTAATAATTATTATACCCTTAATTCATTACATAATCCATTTTAGTTTAATAATAATTATTAAGCTTTTGTTATTTTAAATCAATATAAATATATATACACAATATGCAATATAAATAAGCTTTAGAATAAATAGATAAACCTTTGAACATGACTACATATGAGCTTAGATTTTTGAGTCTCTGTATACCTATATATATTATCTTAACTTTAACTGGCACTGATGGCAAGATGTTTTGTTTAAGTTGTCCTCTTTAATGGACAGTGCTTTTCATCTTGCTGTGTAAATGATGAAACTGTTTCCTGTTTGTTGCTACCGCGTGTTTTGAGTCTGAGCTCCATCAAGTTAATTGTTTATCGTTTATTTTTTGTCCTAATATCGATTTTATACACCATCATTTTCGTTTCTATAATGTGTGAATATATCCCCTGTCGTATTCTACAACAAAAACAATCAGAGCACCTTGTTATCACTAGTTTTATTTTGATTTCCCGAGTCCGCTATTAGCCCGTTATTATCGCCAGCGTGGTTGCCGCTAATCTCGCTTACATTGCTAATACTCTATTCACACACATTACCATTGTTTTACTCACTGTTACTTGCTTTAATGGCGGATGTGTGTCTACCTTTGAGTGCAGGTGAGGACACGTTCGAGCTGCATTCGGTGGGCCGTGGAGAAGCAGATATAAGCATGAGCCCCGTCAGACTGGTCGTGGCGGCGGTGTTGCAACAATCACGTTCAACCAAACACTGGACATGAACATCCACACACATGAAGAACACGTTCAACCAAACACTAGACGTGAACATCCACACAAACACACAGATGAAGAACACGTTCAACCAAACACTGAACATGAACATCCACACAAACACACATGAAGAACACGTTCAACCAAACACTGAACATGAACATCCACACAAACACACACACATGAAGAACACGTTCAACCAAACACTGGACATGAACATCCACACAAACACACACATGATGAACACGTTCAACCAAACACTGAACATGAACATCCACACAAACACACACACATGAAGAACACGTTCAACCAAACACTGGACATGAACATCCACACAAACTAATAGCTGTTTCTATATGATTAAGTGAAATCAATAAACCAGTGAGAGATCACTTCATGATGTTCATTAATCATGAGTTACTCATCTGCTACTTCAAGGTTTGATTCAGCAGTGTACAAATGTCTGCTGTACAACAATATTGCAATCACTTAGAAGCAGATTACTTTGAGTTCCTAAAAGGGTCAAGAGCACAACTAAAGCAAACACTGATCTACCTGATGGTGGCATCATTTTAACAAATAAAACATCAACATCTGATTCGCTGTAATTCTCAATAACAGCAGGTGTTCATCACTAATGCACAATCATCATTTAATTAGACCCTTAATTATCTCATTAACTTTAACTCTTTGAGGACTTGGGATTTGACTTGTGACTTGAAAGGAATGACTTGGTTCCTCCTCTGCTGAAATCAGCTGCTGAGTTCATGGGTGGAATAAACATATGGCAGGACTTTTACTTTCTGACCGCTGGATTTTACACCTCTG